GTCTTCACATCCTCCGGCCACCAGCTCACCATCCTGTTCCGCAGCGACTACAGCATCACCGGCAGAGGTTTCCAGGCCTACTACTCCTCATTTCTTGCCTTCAACAGCACCACAGGTAAGACCAGAGCTGCTCTCTCTCTCTTAAAGGGCTTCTGATGGCTCCTGACTCCCATGGGCCCACTGATGGGCATCGTTTCTCAGGGGCATGTTTCAGGACAGCACGGCCATGAGGCTGCTGCCTGACCCAGTTTCTTTGCCTGGTGGGCAGGGATGGGGCTTTCTCCACCTCCCCCAGTGCTGCTACTGGGCTGTCATCTGTTTTTGGGGCCTTTACTGAAGGCAGAGGAGTTACTTGGTTCCTGGCACTCTCATTGCTGCAGAGACCAATGCTCCTGCTCATGGTTAACCACTTGTTTTCCTAAAATCAAGAGGGCTGATGTGCTCAGAGGCAGTGCAGTGAACTCCTTTAGGCAGCTGTGTGGAGGAGCAAGTGTGGCTGCTGCTCTCTGTCTGCAGCACCGGGGACTCCAGCTCCACTCCCCCGTGTCCCTGAGCTCAGCTGGGGCTGGAGGGCTCGAGGGGTCTGGTCACCTCCTGTCCCTGGTGAGGGTCACAGAGTCCCAGGATGGCTGAGGCGGCTCTTGCTGGGTCCCCCCAGGTTACGGTGTTGACTGTGGCGTTTGGGTTCCTGTATCCCTGGATTTGCTTTGGGGAGGGATGACCCGCCCTGGGCTCCTGGTCTTGGGTGAAACTTTGTGTCCTTACTTGCTGCTCTGTCCCTACAGCACCACCTGCTTCCAACTGGACAACCACCGAGACAGCATCCTCAGGTAGGTTCAGGGGACTTGTGGCAGGAGCAAATAGACCCTTGCAGATATGGTTCACATAATCACAGGCTGATTGGTGTTGGAGGGAACTTCTGGAGGTCATCTGGCCTAACCCACCTACCTGTCACCTGGAACTGGCTGCCTAAGTCCATGTCCAGAGGCTTTTGGCTGTATCCAAGCATGGAGAGCTGACCACCTCTGCAGGCAAGCTGTGCATGTGCTCAGTCAGTCTCACAGTGAACAAGGGTCTCCTGATCTTCAGGCAGAACATACAAGGAACATCTGATATGGGGTCCCCAGACGAAAAGGCTCACGTTCACATCGTGAATGTTGGACCAGTGAGAGAAGGGTCTTCAGTGTTTGCTAGAAAATGAAAATAAAAATTGAAAGTCCTTTAGACCAGAGTAGGTGTCTTGTTCATTCTTTAGGTTAAAAGAAGTAAATATATAATTTCTTTTCTAATTTGGAATATCTTTCTCTGCCGAAGATTATTCTTGTGGTGG